GGGGGGGGGGGGGGGGGGGGTGATGGCAGTGCACCTTTTACCATAATATTTAATTGAAACATTCACCATACATGTCGATCATTTCTTGGTGAAAGGTATTTCAGGCTCATTAGAGATTTGCAAAATAAGAGACTCCCTATATGAACACTAAGTAGTAACTTCCCAGTTTATGTAGTCAAGAGCACAGAGAAATGAGGTGGGTGGGATTCGCAGCAGGAACAGATACAACATCTTTCAGAGCTGTCTTCTTGACTCCTGATCAGGGAGTCAGACCCTGTCGGAGACCCTGTCAGGATGGAGCTAAATGGCTGCAAGCCCTAGGGTTTTGTTTTCTAGAGATCTTTGGTACTTGGGGCTCATACAAATAACTGGAGATAACTTACACGCTCTTTAGTATTTTTCAAAGCCAGATTTTCATTCAACTAAGTATCCAAACACAGAGGCTGCTGAGCAGTCCTAGCTGTGCCTGTATTTCTTCAACATCCTATAAAATCCCTTTCTCTGTGCTGGGAATGATCAGCGTGCGGCCCTTAAAAAACAAAACCCTAAAATTAAGCACAATTTAAAGAAAAGATGGAAACATACACTTACTGAAGAAAAAAACACTTAATAGGACTTCAAAGTTTTTTTTATTATTCTCCATATTTCTGTGAGATAAAGATTTACTGTCCTCAATTTCCTGGTGACAAAACTGAGACATAAGGCCCTAAAAGTAACTAGTCCAGGAGTACATAGCTTGCAGTTACCACATTTTAGATTTGGCAGTGTCTTGGCCCGTATTCTTTCCCTTGTACCTATGCCACTGTTTATTATTTATTGTCAATCAACAAATTAACGCCAAACATACAGCTCAAACCCAAAGATATTTATTATTTTAAACAGTTTCTGCAAGTCAGGTATCCAGGAGTGTGTCCAAGGCTGTGGCTCAGGGTCTCCCATGATGTCACGTGCTGCAGAGCACCTGACTCGGGTTGGAGGATCTGCTTTTTAGGTAGCTCATTCACTCAACTGGCAAGCTGGTGCTGGTGCTGTATTGGTGGGTGCTCTACATTAACTGTCATGGAGGTATCTCCATCCGGCTGCTTGAATGTCTTCATAGCACAGCAAGAGACTTCCTCCACAATTAGTGACCAAGGGGAGAGCAAGGCAGGGGCCACTACATCTTCCGCAACCTGGACTCAGAAATCTTGCTCTGTCTTCTCTGCAATCTCTGTATCTCTCCATGGCAGCCTTATGCAGTGTAGCAGGGCTGAGGACAGCCGTGGAAGTCATCAAGAAGCAGGAATCCTAGGACGCCATCTTCAGAATGGCTCCCACACCATCTCTCTTGTGGATGATCTAATCTTGTAGATCTCTAATCTGGCTTAGTGTTCTGCACTATTTAAGTGAGCATCTTGACAGGGACTAAGTGTGTATACTTGTTCAGATATTACCCCTTGGTTAAAGCTTGGCATTTTTTAAGTAAGGTTCTGATAGACTTCATTTTACTTTATGTACTGTACATCTTAGTATTGGGAAATTCAGAGTATGGAGATCAGATGTATAAGAATTTAAACATGTTTTCTTGATAATTGAGGTTGA